TAAATAAATAATGGCTTCACAATTTAAGATAGTGATTTTAAGGCCAAGTATGGTAGCCATCCGTGGGTATAGAGAGGTGTGTATGCTGGAATTCACATTTTCTCTCCTTTTCCCTTTACTTCTTCATTTTATCATTAGCATCAGTATCACTCTTATTACTATCATTATCATCATCATTATCATCACCATCATCATCATCATTCATTATCATTATTAGTCTTCTTTGTCTTTCATTCGTATAACATTAAGAGAGGAGAAACCATGTCCAACAACACACTTGGACATTAAAAAGAGACTCAGTTTAAGGGACTACTCACCACTTTTTGGGAATTGTAATCTTTATCATTATCATTATCAGCATCAATTTCAACTTCAATATCATCACCGTCATCATCATCATTATCAACAACATCATCATCATCATCATCATCATCATCATCATCATCATCATCATCATCATCATCATCACCATCACCATCCATACCAATATCCACACCCATATCTATATCATTTTTATTATCATTATCATTATATTTTATCATTATCAATATCATTATCATATTTTTTTTCCACCATTCATTCCATTAAATAACTTCTTCACAGCACCTGGATAGCCCAATGGAGGAATTTCCAGGCACGGGACTAGACTATGCAATATTATACTCGAACAGGAATAGCAAGGTCCCTTATAATCCTAATCTGCCTAAGACAGTTTTTCCCAACCCTGTGGTCGCGAACCTAATATCTGTGTGTGTGGTGTGTGGTGGTGTGTGTGTGTGTGTTGGTGTGTGTGTGTGTGTGTGTGTGTGTGTGGTGTGTGTGGTGTGTGTGTGTGTGTGTGTGTGTGTGTGTGTGTGTGTGTGTGTGTGTGTGTGTGTGTGTGTGTGTGTGTGTGTGTTTTCCTGGGGTCGCAAAGCCCTCAAAATATCAAACGTGGTTAATTCTGAATTTTGAGATGTTTTCAGCATATACGTATCACATTTTGAGAACTAATGGCTAAATTTTCCTTGATTAATACACAATAATTTAAAATGGTCGGAAAAGAACTCCATTAAATTCTGATGAAACTCGTACTAAAGAAAATATAATCGTAATAGTGGATTTTTGTTTATCGAATTAGCTACACGTATATCAGATAATGGATATGATAACATAAAATAAAAATATAATATAATCAGACTGGGGTCGTGGTCATGTCTGGAGGTGCATGACTTGGGTCGCCCTGAAAAAAGGTTGCGAACTGACCTAGAACAATGAATTTCTTTACCAATAGTTATGAAATTCTTGAGAAGGGAAAGGCACATTGAGAAAAAAAATCACTATTCGCCAATGCATTAAAGGGGTATTACAAGATTCGTAAAAATAAAAAGTAATACCAAATTCAGTTTGTTTAATCATTTAAAGTTGGAAAGAGAAACGAATAAATTTGATTGTTTCTGGTCTGTACATCTTTCGATAGATAAACTTTTCAAAACATAAACATTTGTCATAACTCTTCTATATTCTCTTGATAGTTCACTTTAATAATACCTTATTACGACTTAAGGTGAAGATATATGAAACTTAAGGAACATTAATTAATAATAATAATAATAATAATAGTAATAATAGTAATAATAATAATAATAATAATGATAATTATTATTATTATTATTATTATTATAATTATAATAATAATAATAATAATAATAATAATAATAATATAATAATAATAATAATAATAATATAATAATAATAATAATAATAATAATAATATAATGATAATAATAAAATAATAAATCAGTAAGACATATAGCACCAAGATCTTCAACGATTTAAAATTACACTTCACGCTTGACAATATCGAGTATTTACAGAAAATCACGAGTACTGAAACATTTATTCTAACGGTGTCTTCACGAGATACCGAGAACAAGGATTCCCTTAACTCCCTAATCCGGTCCTTCACATGGGATTGGAACCTGATTGGGTTGCAGGCTTATAGGATCACGCTCTGAGATGATCACTTTGAGGAATTCGTTTGTCAAAGGAAAAATATAAATCTCTGCTGTTTACTTATTTTTCACTTTCTGTTCCTATTTTGCTTTCCATGAGAGAAATCTGTTTTATTGATTTATCTTTCATGTAATCTAATATTTTTTATTTGGATCCATACACCTGGACTTGTCTTATAATCTTACGTGTGTTAAGATATTGAATACTATTTATTTTCTTTCGTTATTATCATTACTATCTTTACCATCATCATTATTATTACCATAACTATTGTTACTATCGTGACATTACTATCATCATTATTGTTATTACAACTTTTTATCATTATCACTGCTATTACTCTCATCATTACTATTTACAGAAGGAACATTACATTAAAGAAAAGACTAAACCCTCGTATGAAACAATTACAAAATCAAAGCTAAAAAAATAAATCAATAATTCTCAATTCATTCAACTCAAAGTACAACCCCGTCCAAAAATGAATAAATGATAATCATAATAATAAAGAGACAAGGAAAAAAATATATAACACAACCGTTTATTTTAGACTCGTTATGACAAATATAACAAAAGATAGACAAGGTAAAAAAAAAGGAGAGAGTTTTAGACTCTTTATAACAAATATAACAAAAGATAGACAAGGTAAAAAAAAAAAAAAAAAAAAAAACGAGAGAGACAAAGGAAAAAAAAAATACAAAACGGCCGTTTATTTTAGACTCTTTATTCATATAACAAAAGCATCACAAACAGTCCTTGAACAAAATGTCGTGGCAAAGAAATTCGCTGGCACAATAATGGCTTCAGATGATGTGGCAGTTCGATGGCACCTCCTCACTGGCACTCCTTCTCTCTCATACAAAGAACTCCAGTGACTCTCCACATTTCAAAGTCGTCTCTCTTTTAGAAAATTGAGGTTGCGGAATTAATGTGAAATTGCGTAGTAGATGCAACATCAGTATTGCCATTTTTGTAATATTCTAGAAAATACAGATACAGTAACATCTTAACACATAAATTAGTAAGGCACCAATTTTATCATCAGTAAGCATAGAACAACACAAATTTAATATTTCTTTAATAATTGATTTCTGCTCCATAAGTCAAAATTGCAGAAAAAATAACTTGATAAACAATACAAAAATATGCTATATAGAAAAAAAAAAACTACAAATACAAAACAACTGCAATCAAATGACCAAATAATGTAAAAACAAAAACTAAAGAAAAAAGAAATGTAAACAAAAAATACACTATACATTTATATACCTATTTAGTATAGAGCCATCATTATAAAGAAAAAATATCCAAAATATTCTAAGCTAAGTAACTTGAAACAACGATACGTATATACACAAACAAAACAGGGACTAGATTGCCACTAAGGATGGCAGGTTGTGTCCTGAACTACAATGCGCCCAGGTTTAGAAAATTAGAATAACTGGCAACTCACCACGGTCTCTGGAACACTCCGATTCGCTAAGTCTACTTCATTCTAATCCGCTGACACTTAATACTTATTTGAGTTTTTTGTTCATGTGTTTGTTTGCTTTTTTATTATTTATATACATTTTTTTTTTACTGAAATGCGCTGCCTGCAACACCATTTCATTTTTTTTCCCTTTTTCTTAAACAAGACACCGAATCGGAGAACGCCAACGTCCAGGTGAGTTGCTAGTTTCTCTATTTCTGAGACTGGACGGAGTATAGCTTCGAAATTGTGGAAAATGGACACCCATGTTACAGTGTCTAATTTCTTTTCTTTTCTTTTTTTATGAAAGGAGTATGGTATTATCCCTTCCATAGCTTGTGATGAAATCCTCTTCGTCAGAGTACATACCTGCCTTCCTTAGCAGTGTTGGATGATATAGTGACAAACAATATGGGTTTGTTTATAATGAGAAGCCATGGCATAAGCTTAGATCAACTGCCTGTGAGTTAATAACTAACGGAAGGTCACAGCAACAGACACCACTCGTGTTTTTTTCCCCTTATTATCGTTACTATCTTCCGTGGAATAAATGTAATGTAATGTAACTGTATAAGTAACCGAGTGGCATATAGCTGTAACTGTTATCTATAAATAAACCGAGAAAGAACACGAAATCTCGGTCCTGATTCATCTTGCACACAAAGACGGGAAGAAAGACCCTCTGCTCACCCACTTCACTCCATCACTTCACTTCCTTCGACCCATTTTCACACCACTTATCAGATACGAAAAAAAAAAAAAATAAAAAAAGAAACGACCAGGAAAGAAAGAAGAGAAAAATATAAACATTTCTCTTTTTTCTCCTTCCAGCCTAATGCTTGATCTACCCTATAGACGCGGAGGTCACGTGATGAGGCGGCCCGTGCGAGTTCTGCAGCTGACTGACATGGGGAGTAGGAGTGACATGATGAGCGGGGACGGAAGGATGGTGCAGCGCAGCAGAAGGGTGACGTACAGGGGCGGGCGTGGCGTAACCGTGATGCGGTCGCTGACGTACCGGGACGCCCTGATGTCAGCCTCCAGGACGTCCTTGTGCAGAGGGACGCCCGGGTGGCCGATGGCAGCGTTCACGGGGTAGAAGAAGGGCGCGTCCTCGCAGGCGAAGTTGTACCACCAGTCGCACACGAAGTACTTCTGGTTGAACACCGTGCCGTTGGGACAGAGGAACGAGTCCTGGCGGCCGTTGCGGTGGCAGATGTGGAACACCTGCGGCATAAGATGTGTCAGAATGATAACAACAAGGAATAAAGGAGAAGCAAAATAAAAAAGAAAAGAAAAGAAAAACAACAACAGAAAGACGCACAGAACAAAAAATCTAGAATAATCTAGAATAAAATCAAAAGAAATCCAAAAAAGCCTCCCCCCCAAAAAAAAAAAGAATAATAAATAATAATAATCTCACCTGGCACCCTGCTTCCATATCAGCATAGTAGCCCGGGTAGTCAGCCACGAGGTCACAGCCAAACGAGGTCAGCGGAATGTAACTCAGGATGGGGTAGTCACGGCCGGCCCGACCTTGAGAGGGGAAAGAATCGTGTCATCTTAAGAAAATATTGTTTTGATTTAATGTGTATTTATATAGAGAAAAAATACTTTTCTCTGTTTATATCTATATAAACGTTCTCTAAAACAACCCTCTTATCTAATTAATAAAAATCAATCATCCAGAAAAATTAGTATTTTAGAAATGATTAAATTTCGATGTAATTTGTGTTTTTATTGTTTTTTAGCAATTCTTTTTATGAAGTTTCTAGAAATTCTATGGCATTTTATCTTATATTTTACCTCAATATGATATCCGGTGAAGTATATTACCCTAAGAATACATTAGTATAATGACTAGTATTAATCCCTTAGCATAGTTTCATGTACTTTTTTATCTTTAAATAACTATAAATAACCTGTTCTCAAAACAAATTTCTTTGACATTTACGGTCGTGCCTTATCCTTAAAAAAGAAAAAATTCTTATACGGTTCTTTCCTTATCACCCTTAAATAAGTCTTTAAAATATATCTCTAACTCTATTTCCGTATGATACACGGTCAGATATGTGACGCTAAACAAATGGATATTTTTTTTTTTGCATATCTATAATTTGTGCCCTAAAACAACTCTCTTAATCCAATTACGATCAATTTTGCCTTTTAAAAAATCCCTTAATAAAGATTCTGAGTAATATCTCCCCATCTTAAATATCTACATACGTAATTTGTTTATTTTTTATCATCATTTTTATATTTACAAATTTTACCAATTTCTTTGTCGTATAATGAAAGTATATTTTCTCTTATGACAGAAGGAAAGTATATTCTTATAATCAGTAAAAAGAAAGTATATCTTCATAATCAGCAGATAGAAAGAAAGTATATTTCTATAATCAACAGAAAGAAAGAAAATATATTCTTAACATCAGTAAAAAGAAAGAAAGTATATATTCTTTATCAACAGAAAGAAAGATAGTATATTAATTCAATCAGTAAAAAGTAAGTATATTCATTTAATCAGTAAAAAGAAAGAATATATTCTTTTTTAGCGCAGAAGAAATGTATTCTTTATCAACAGAAAGAAATATTCAATCAGTAAAAATTAGTATATTCATTTAATCAGTAAAAAGAAAGAATATATTCATTTTTCAGCGCAGAAGAAATTATTATTATTTTTTTTTTTATCAAAGTAAGTATATTCATTTAATCAGTAAAAAGAAAGTATATATATTTTTTTTCAGCTTAGAAGAAATGAAACCTTTTTTTTTTATCCCATCACAGAATTTTTTTTCAGCTTAGAAGAAATGAAACCTTTTTATCCCATCACAGAAATTTTTTCAGCTTAGAAGAAATGAAACCTTTTTATCCCATCACAGAATTTTTTTTCAGCTTAGAAGAAATTAACCTTTTTTTAATCCCATCACAGAAAGCCTCGTCCAGGTCCTCTTACCAGGAATGCCAGCAATGTAACCGAAGTCTTGTATTTCGTTCTCGAGGATGTCGAAGTAGTCCGACTGGGGAATGAGGTGGTGAGGGACAGGTCGTCTAAGACTCTGCGGCGGGCCATAGTCATAGTCGTCGTAGTAGTAGTCGTAGTCGTAGTCGTCGTAGTAATAGTCGTCGCCGTAGTAGTAGTAATCGTAGTCGTAGTAGTCGTCGTAGTCGTAGTCGTCGTAGTCGTCGTAGTAGGAAGGACGGGGATGGTAGGGTCGAAGGGGTGCGTGGGGAGGAGGGGCGATGGCCGTCGGGATTGGGGGGGGCTTGACGCTGGCTGGGAGGTCGTTGTAGCCAGGTCCGAAGGTCGAGGGGGTGTACACGGGGGGCGAGTAGGTCGTGGTGTAGTTGGGACGCACGGAAGGTCGTGGGGCTAAGGACGGTCGTGGGGCCAGCGAGACTCCCGGATGACTGAAATCCTGGAGTTTCTTGATCTTCGGGTCGTAGGAGGGTTTGTAAGTGGTCACGTGCACGGGTGAAGCCGGAGGGACGTAGGTCTGTGTGGGTTTGGCTGGAGGGACGTACTCGGGCTTGGGTGTGGTTGGGGGGACGTAGGCTGGCTTGGGAGGGCTGTAGGTCGTAGCGACATGTGGCTTTGCGGTCACAGGAGGAACGTAAGCCTGAGTGGGTTTAGCAGGAGGGACGTAAGCTTCTTCAGGCTTAGCGGGAGGAACGTAGGCTGGTTTAGGGGGTGCTGGGGGAACGTAAGCTTGAGAGGGTTTAGCTGGTGGAACGTACGCCGTGGTGGGCTGTGCTGGAGGAATGTAATCTGGTTTGGGTTTTGCTGGGGGAACGTATGCTGATACGACAGCTGGGTATGTGGGTTTCGGGGTCGTGTAATGCGAAGAGTGTGGGGCGCTTAGGTGCAGATCTGCTGAGGGAGGAGGCGGGTGAGTGGGTGCCTTAGGAGGAACATAATCATGCTGAGGTGGTACGTAGGTGACAGGTGGTTGCTTCGGAGGAGGCAGGTAGGTGGGGTCGATTGGAATATGCAGGGGAGGTGGAGGAGGCGGTATGTAAGAAGATTTGGGTTTCGAGACGTCAGCTGCTACAGGGGCCTTAGGCGGCACATAGACGTCTGGCGAAACTTTGGGAGGAACGTAGGCCTGTTCTGGGGCTTTAGGGGGAACATAGGATTCCGTAACAGGAGCTTTAGGAGGAACGTAGGCCTCCTGAGGAGCTGCAGGAGGATTGTAATCTTTAGGAGGTAAATACTCTTTATCTGGAGGCTGGTAGGTCCTCAATGGCAAAGAGTAGCCAGGGGTAACAGCATGGGGTCGTTCAGGAGGGGCTTGGTATTCAGGTTTGGGAGGTGTGTACTGAGGTTCAGGCGGGGAATAAGCGTAGGAAGGAGCGGATGTTGTCTTTGCGTAACTTGCCTTTGTGGACGTATTGGGGTCATACCCTGGAGGAGGCGTTGGGTTGGTCTTGCGGATTTTGAAAGGCTGGGCTTCTTGAGGGCCTTTGGTCTGCTGCAGGCTTACGAGCCAAGAGGGAAGGGGTGTGTCATGTGGTTCGGGCTTCGGAGGCGTTATAATGTACTCGTTGACAGGCAGTTCGTACTTGCGCGATGGCTGTACGTAACTCAGCTGGGGAGGGGCATAAGACACCTGAGGCGGAGCGTAGGTAGGCTCCGGGGGTGGAAGAGGTGGGACGTATGCTGGTGCAGGTGTTGCTGCTACCTTAGGCGGTATGTACTCATTAGTAGGTGGACCATAAGTCTGGCTGGGCACTGCGGTTACTTTGGGTGGTATATATTCATTAACGGGTGGTCCGTAAGTCTGGCTTGGTATCGCTGCTACTTTTGGTGGTATGTATTCATTAACGGGTGGTCCATAAGTCTGGCTTGGTATCGCTGCTACTTTGGGTGGTATGTATTCATTGGTGGGTGGAACGTAAGTCTGGCTTGGTGTTTCATACCTCGCTGGTGGGGTTTGATAGTCTCGCTGGGGTGGTAGGTACGTCCTGGAGGGGGTTGCGTAAGTGACCGAAGCCATGGTCGTCATTTGTGGGGCTTTCGTATCATCTTTGGGTGGAGGCAGATATTCATTGGTGGGAGGCTCATAGGTCCTTGGAGGCGGTGTGTTATATTCCTTATTGGGAGGAAGGTAAGTGCGCGGGGCAGGTGTTGTCCCATAACCAGGTGCAGATGAGCCTCCATCCTGGAATTCAATATTGGGTGGTAGGTACGTTCTGCTAGGCAAAGTGGGTCTCTTGGGGTGCTTCCTTCTCCTCTTGCCAGGACCTCCAGGACGGCGTCTTCGACCTGGTACCTGCCCCTCGCCAGGAACTCTCCTTCCGGGCACACTGAATTCCTTGTCCGGAGGAAGGTACTTTCTGGGTGGCTTCGCTACGGGTTTTCCGGGGACCTTGGGCCTTGCACCCGGCCGAAGTCTTCTGCGAGGGGGGGCAGCAAATTCCTTGTTTGGCGGAAGGTATTTTCTTGGAGGTTCTGCATACGTCTGTTCAGGGAGCTTGTGGTTGGCGGATGGAGGCAAATATTCATTACTTGGAGGGATGTACTTTCTTGGAGGCGCTTCGTACGTCTTGGCAGGAGGAGAGGCAGCTTTTGGGGGAATGTATTCGTTGGTGGGTGGTTCGTACTTCTGCGAAGGTGCTTCATATTTCTCAGCAGGTTTTTCTGGAGGCACGTACTCCTTGTTTGGGGGAAGGTAGGTCTGCGAGATGCCAGGGGCTGGCGTAGCAGCATGAGGAGCTTCGTACTTGGTGCTTGGGGGGACATACTGCTTAGGAGGGTCAGTATAAGTAACAGCTGGCGTTTTATACCCAGTCTGAGGCGTTGCAGCATGTGGGGGCTTGTAGTCCTTCTCGGGCGCAATGTAAGCCGAGGGAGGGTCTGTGTGGGGGGCCTTTGGGGCCTTGTACGCGGGCGTCGTCAAGGGAGCCTCAGGAGCGACGTATTCCTTATTGGGGGGAAGATAGTGGGAGGGCTCAGAATGGGTTCCCGCCCCTGCGGTCTTGGCAGGAGCCTGTGGTGGGAGGTACTCCTTGTCTGGCGGAAGGTAGGTCTGAGAGGGCTTCGCGTAGCCCTCCGTCGCCGCCTCTGCATGGTGTGCCGGTGTTGGGGACGCCTGCGCCGGGTGGGGCGAGGCGGCCTTGGTGGGGTAGGGCACCGTGGTGTAGGCGCGCGTGGAGGGCGTCGCCTCCGTCGTTAGCTTCGCCTCCGCGTCCGTCCGTCGGTACTTGAAGGAGACCGGGCGGCGGTACTGGAGGTGCGCCTGGATGCTGACCCTCTCCGGCGCGGGCGTGAAGAAGTGCGGGCGTCCGGGGGGCGGCCGCGAGACCAGCCCGTTGGTGCGGCGGCGGTGGTGGCCGGGCGGGCGGCGAGGAGGCCGGAACACCAGGTTGGGAGACTCCTCGGCCGCCTTGTCCCTGTTGAGCGGGATGTAGGGCTTGGCGGTTCCGGGGCCGCCCGCCGCCTCCTCGCCGAACGCGGGCGTCACCAGGGCCTCCAGGGGCAGGTACTGGGGCTGGCCGGGGGTCGGGACGAACCGCTGGTACTTCCTGTCGGCGGCGACGCGGTAGTCCTCCTTCGGGTAGCCGACGGTGGGCTGGATGTCGTGCAGCTCCTGAGGGTGCTTGGGCGTCACCACGACCTCCGTCTCGTAGATGTCGGGGATCCCGATGTCGTAGCGAATATTGGGCTTCCTGAGAGAAAAAAAATCATCGTTATATATCTGGTCGATCCTTTGTGATGTACCGCAGATGACATCCTATATATATATATGTAGTGGAAAGAGATCAAAATCATACTGGTAAATTCAAAAAAATCAAAAGTATTTGAACAACAGTCTCGAGTAACCTTACGTCAAGAAGTCGGCTTCCCATACCTGTATTACCTATTATTCGTTTATTCAAGTCTAATGCTAGTTTTACTAGGTATATCTTAACAATAAAACTAACTTTGAATTGAATAAACGAATAACAGGTTATCATTCATATTAGCTACACTGGCCTTTTTCTTATATATCTGACAATCTCTCTATCTATATAGTTAGGTAGCTTAAACATTTCCCTATTTGTCTATCTATCCATCTATGTGTATGTTAATTAATTCAAATGGTAATTGTCTGTCTAATCACCACTTTGCTTTCTCATCATTTATTGATTAATCCAAAAGCTGTCTTATTCTAACAATATACAAGAGTTTCCCTTTTCCGTCCCTACATCTATCCCTACTTCTATCCCTCTTCCGTCCCTTCTCTCTCCCTTCCCTCCCTCCCCCGCCCCCGTCATCCCTCTCTCCATTCATCTCTTCCCCCATCCCCTGTCCCTCCGTCACCCTTCCTCCTCCCATCTCCCCAATTTCCCTCCTCCCCCTCACCCTCCCTCCTACACCCCACCCCACCCCTCCCTCCCTCCCTCTCCCAGTCCCTCCGTCACCGAGTGTAAACAAGGCCACTGGCACTTCATTCTCGAGTCCTTCCGAGTCCTACTTGGAGGTGTAGATCGACGGCTTCTTCTTGAGGCGGTAGCGGATCCTCGAGGGCAAGGGGGCGTTGAAGGACGTCTCCAGATCCTGCAGGAGTTGCTGGCGGAGGCGAAGGGTCTCGTTGGCTGTGAGACACGCCCACGAGTTCTGTCGGGGAGGGAGAAGGATGCTGTGGGTTGATCGGTGTGGGATTTGTAAAGGATTTGTAAGAGGATTTGCTGGTTTATATGGCTTCTTTTTTTTTTTTTTTTTTTTTTTTTTGGTTTATTTTCTGCTTTGTTTTCTTTTGTGTAGAATTTTATGGGATGAGACAGGGTCATAGTTTTTTCATCTTTCCCTCCTTTTTAATATGAATTTTATAGAATGAAACCGGATAATAGAAGGATATATATACTCGTATATAAATGAATACACACACACACACACACACACACACACACACACACACACATAGTAGTCATAACACTATCACAATATTTAAATACAATTACAATCCTATCAAAAACTTGAAAAAACAACCTTATCACCACCGTGGACTTTAATCACAATTATAACAACATCATATTAAGCACAGCCAGTCTAGACACACCAAGCCCGAGACACTGGCACCTCAATGTAAAACAGACGGGATGTTTGGGGCGCCAGAGATAAGCAGGGAACGGGCTGAGTGGGGCGGTGAGGCGGTCGGGTATATTAGAGACAATATTAACTGTACCTGTGGGCGTTTGTTGTCTGGTCTGTCTGTCTTGGGTCGAAGCTGAGGCGAAGGGCGGAGAAAATGGTGGTAAGTGGGTTGAGAAACGAGAGAGAGAAATAAGGGGGGAGGGAGAGGGATAGAAATGAGAGAGGGAGGGCAGGAGGGAGAGAGGGAGAGAATGGAGAGGAGGCAGGAGGAGAGATGGAGAGAATGAGAGAGGGAGGGCAGGAGGGAGAGAGGGAGGGAATGAGAGAGAGAGAGAGGAGGGCAGGAGGGAGAGCGGGAGAGAATGAAGAGAGGGAGGGCAGGATGGAGAGAGGGAGAGAATGAGAGTGGGAAGGCAGGAGGGAGAGAGGGAAAGAATGAGAGAGGGAGGGCAGGAGGGAGAGAGGGAGAGGCAGGAGGGAGAGGGAGAGAATGAGAGAGGGAGAGAATGAGAGAGGTGAGGCAGAAGGGAGAGAGGGAGAGAATGAGAGAGGAGGGCAGGAGGAGAGAGGAGGGAATGAGAGAGGGAGGGCAAGGGAGAGAATGAGAGAGGGAGGGCAGGAGGGAGAGAGGGAGGGCAGGAGGAGAGAGGGAGAGAATGAAGAGGGAGGGCGGGAGGGAGAGAGGGAGGGCAGGAGGGAGAGAGGGAAAGAATGAGAAGAGGAGGGCAGGAGGGAGAGAGGGAGAGAGGGAGGGCAGGAGGGAGAGAGGAGGGAATGAGAGAGGGAGGGCAGGAGGGAGGAGGAGAGAATGAGAGAGGAGAGATGAGAGAGATAGGGCAGGAGGGAGAGAGGGAGAGAATGAGAGAGGGGGGCAGGAGGGAGAGAGGGAGAGAAATGAGAGAGGTAGGGCAAGAGGGAGAGAGGGAGAGAATGAGAGAGGTAGGGCAGGAGGGAGAGAGGGAGAGAATGAGAGAGGGAGGGCAGGAGGGAGAGAATGAGAGAGGGAGGGCAGGAAGGGAGAGAGGGAGAGAATGAGAGAGGGAGGGCAGGAGGGAGAGAGGGGAGGGAATGAGAGGGAGGGCAGGAGGGAGAGAGGGAGAGAATGAGAGAGGGAGGGCAGGAGGGAGAGGGAGAGAATGAGAGAGGTAGGGCAGGAGGGAGAGAGGGAGAGAATGAGAGAGGGAGGGCAGGAGGGAGAGAGGAGAATGAGAGAGGAGGGCAGGAGGGAGAGAGGGAGAGAATGAGAGAGGGAGGGCAGGAGGGAGAGAGGGAGAGAATGAGAGAGAGGAGGGCAGGAGGAGAGAGGGAGAGAATGAGAGAGGGAGGGCAGGAGGGAGAGAGGATAGAATGAGATGGGAGGGCAGGAGGGAGAGAGAGAGAGAATGAGAGAGGGAGAGAGGGAGGGCAGGAGGGAGAGATGGAGAGAATGAGAGAGGGAGGGCAGGAGGGACAGAGGAGGGAATGAGAGAGGGAGGGCAGGAGGGAGAGAGGGAGAGAATGAAGAGGGAGGCAGAGGGAGAGAGGAGAGAATGAGAGAGGGAGGGCAGGAGGGAGAGAGGGAGAGAATGAGAGGGAGGGCAGGAGGGAGAGAGGGAGAGATATGAGAGAGGGAGGGCAGGAGGGAAGAGAGGAGAGAATGGGAGAGGAGGGCAGGGGAGAGATGGAGAGAATGAGAGAGGAGGGCAGGAGGGAGAGAGGGAGGGAATGAGAGAGGGAGGTCAGGAGGAAGAGAGGGAGAGAATGAGAGAGGGAGGACAGGAGGGAGAGAGGAGAGAAAGAGAGAGATGAGGTGGGCATAAATAATGTAAATATGGCGAGACAATAAGAGATAGCTAGATAGATAGAGAGGGAGAGAGAGAGAGATGAAGTGAAGGCATAAAAATGTAAATGTGGCGAGAAAACAAAGAGAAAGAGAAAGAGATAGATAGATAGATAGATAGATAGATAGTAGATAGATAGATAGATAGATCGAGAGAGAGGAGAGTGAGAGGGAGAGGAAGGAGAGAGAAAGAAGAAAGCAAAGGAGCAACAGTCAGAAAGCAAAATAAAGTTAGTTGATAAAAGACAATTATATCAAAAGAAAAACATTACGAAGATTAGTGATCAACGAAACATTAAACAAACTAACTTAGATTTTCTCTTGTCCTTATTATTATGTGTCACCGACTTAAATTGATCATAAAGATTAATGGAAACACGTTTTTTGTTAGTTATTCCCGACGTACAGAAAGTAACAACCCTTTTCCGTAAACGTTGTTATTGTTATTTCTACTTCTATCTAAAAATAAGTTTTAAAATGAACAACCCTTTCCGTAAACGCGTTTCATTACGTGTCTCTAGTTCTATCTTAAAATAAGTTTTAAAATGAACAACCCTTTCCGTAAACGTTGTTAATTGCTATTCCTACTATCTACTATTGTTATTACTACTTATTCCTACTATCTACTATTGTTATTCCTACTTATTCCTACTATCTTAGAATAACACTTATTATTATTATTTTTCTTTATTATTATTAATTGCAACTTACCTTATCATCACACGCAACGCCCTCGCTGGGTCTCCGATAAATGCCTGGCGCCTCCACTCTCGTCTCCACCACCTAAACCGAACAACATTAGCATTTTTCTTTATTTCCAAAAAGAAAAGATTTTTTTTTATCGAATGTCCCCCCCCAAAAAAAAAAAAAAAAAAAAAAAAATTGAGGGGGTTGGTGAAGAAATGGAATAGAATTTTGGATTTTTTTTTTTTTTTTTTTTTTGTGGTATATCATGGATGGTTATGATTTTGGCCGAAAGAGATATAATTTTGGATATTGTTATTTGTGATTTTTGGGGTTTATTGTGCCTAATGCTGGTTCAGTGTGGATGGCTTTGACTTGGCCGTATTAGAGGAGTCGTTGATATAAGAAGGTATATATGGCCATAATAAAGGGATTAAGAAGGGAAATGAAGAAATTAAAACAAAATGATAAATATGATTAAAAGGCAATGATCACAAATAAAAAGTAAAAAAGGAGATGAACACTAGAAAGAAAAAAAATGTAGAGAAAAATATAAACAAAAATAACAAAGAAAAAAATTAAAACATAAAAAGAAGAAAATATAACAAAGAAGAAAAAACAGAAAGAAAATAACAAAAAGGAAAAAATTACCTTAGACGCTTCCCCCTTGTGATCTCCATCAACGAGATCACTCCTCGTCAGCGCCTCCGTCAGCGCCTCCGTCAGCACCCGGGACGTCAGCTCTCCTCCTCCTCCTTCGCCTTCGTCGTCAGCCTGGCCACTCCTGTTGGGGTTCCTTCTCCTCCCCACTCCCCGCTGGCCATGAGCTTGTTGGCCAGCTTGTCCAGGAGGCTCGTGTCCTTCAGGCGCCACGTCAGGAGGTCCTTTGCGTACTGGTTGTTCGCTGTTGTTGTTGTCGTTTGTTGTTGTTGTTGTTGTTGTCGGCGAGTAAGA